CTTCTTGGACCCATAGGTCATTTGGGAACCTGTTATTTAATTTCCATGTATTTGTATAGTGCCCTGAGTTTTGCTTCTATTAATTCTGGGTTTAAAACATTGTGGTCGGAAAAGATAGGTGAAATGATTTCGATTTTTTAGAAATTTGTTGAGACTTGTTTTGTGACCTAACACGTGGTTCATCTTGGAGAATGTTCCCTGTGCTGATGAGAAGAATATATATTCTTTAGTCGTTGGATGAAATGTTCTGTAGATATCTGACAGGTCTAATCAGTCTAAAGTGTGATTTAAATCCTGTGTTTCTCTGTCCAGTGATGAGATGGGACTGTTCAGGTGCCCCACTATTATTGTATTGGGGTCTATCTCTTTCTTTAGTTCTAATAGTGTTTACTTTATATATCTGGCTGCTCCATTGTTGGCTGCATATATATTTATGACTGTTATATCTTCTTGCTGGATCAATCCCCTTATCATTACATAGTGGCTTTCTTTGTCTCTTTTTATGATTTTTGTTTTAAAATGTATTTGTTTGATATAAGAATAGCTACTCCTGCTCATATTTGGTTTATATCTGCATGGTATATCTTTTTCCATTCCTTCTCTATTAGTCTGTGTTCATATTTTTATCAGTGGGATTAGTCTCTTAAAGACAGCATATAGGTGGGTCTTGCTTTTTCATCCTATCTGTCAGTCTGTGTCTTTTGAGTAGGAAGTTTAATTCATTTACATTTAGGGTTGTCATTGAGAGGAATTGTCTTATTCCTGGCATTCTATGGCTTTCTGTTTAGATGCTTTAAGTAACATTTGTTCTTTTCTTCTCCTTTGATTATTGGTCTTGTTTGTGGGGTTTTCTTTGAGGTGGTAAAATTTATTTTCTCTTGTTTTTCTCATTTGCATTTGTGTTTTACTAGTGGGTTTTGGTTTTACTTGTGTATTTGTGGAAGTGATTTTTGTTTTTCAGGTTCCAGACGCAGGACTCCCTTGAGAATTTCTTGCAGGACTGATTGTGTGGTGCTGAACTCTGATAGTTTTAGTTTGTCTGGGAAATATACTATTTCTCCCTCATTTC